TGGCGCATCTTTAGTACCTAAAGTTTTGATCTGAATATATGCAATATTATGTCGTGTTGACCTTTCAAATAGATTGTTTAAATTCACCTTCATTACTTTTAGCATAATGCCAAGTAAAATTTTGACCTAAATCTTACTGTTGGGAACCTTGTAGAATAGTGGGGTGAAGGACAGAATGACCCAGAGGGAACAGGATCTCCCATAAGAAGTCCAGACTAACCTGGACCTGAAGAGTTTAAGTTAGCCTGAACATAACTCCATTTTGAAATAAAAATCTTGACTGGGAACTGAATTCAGGTACCAGGAAACATCACAGAATGTACACCTGGCAGAAAACAAAGTTAACTCTCCTAGCAACAGCCTCCAGGAAATAATACAGAATAAATGCTTCATAGAAAATAGAGACAAACTCCCTGGCAATAATCAATGGGAATCGGTTGAGAATCGGGTGGGAAAATTCTCCCCAATATTTCAGATATGGTTTAGGAAAATAGCCATTGTGATTATATGCCTTAGCCATTGTGATTGTGTGCCTCAGAAAAGGTCACCCCGCCCTGCTAAACTTCACCCAATTCTGTAATGCCAAGACTTGTGCCCCCTGCTTGTTGCCATGGAAACCCCCTGCTCACAGACTTTCCCTTTAAAAATCCTGTTCCCGAGTTGATCGCTCTCATAATAAAGCTCTTTTGCAATTGCATCGAGTGTTCTCCTGGTGCTCTCTGAGGGTCCCGTGAACCTGCCATTACAGTCCCAGAGGAGCTTGCGGACTGAAGCACCAACCAAGGACCAGGCATGGACTGGGGGTTCCCAGTCCATGGGGATGGGGGCTCTCTCTGACACAGCCTCTGTTGCATGCCTCTCTATCAATTCACCCTGGAGTGGCTGCCTTGTCAGGACACTGTGAATGAGGAAGTACACAGTCCTGATGAGACTGGAAGGGCTGGGGCAGGTTTGTGGGGGAGGGAGCTCCCCTTTTCTGAGGAGCAGGGGAGGAGGGATAGGAGGATGAGGGAGGGACTGAGAGGAGGATCTGGTGAAGAAAGGAGAGAGGGTGCTACAATTGAGGTGTAAAGTGAATAACTAAATAAAACTTTCAATTAAAAAGAAAAAGAACATCTTCACACACAGAGAAGAGGCTATAATGCCCTGGGCCTAGTGGTACACACCTATAATCCCAGCACTCAGAGAAGCAGGGGGAGGCGATCTCTATGAGTTCGAGGCCAGCTAAGGCTACACAGAGAAATCCTGTCTCCCAACAATCAAACAAACAAACAAACAAACAAACAAAAAGGCTGTAATATTAAAAGAGACATATAGGAGACAGCTATTTGTCCTCCAAGCATTTGCTGCTGACCTGAAGTTCCAGCGTATACTGAAGACCAGCAGAGCCTTATGGACTGAGCAACTGCTGGATTTTGGACTTTTTGTTCACAGTCAGCCATTGTTGGAATTAGCTGGATTGCGGCCTGTAAATTATTCCAATGAGGGGGTGGAGGACTCATTCTATAAATTTTGTCACTCTAGAGAGCCCTGATGAATACATCAGGAGACACACTCCCACAGCAAATTTCCTTATCCTCTGGCTCCTACAATCTTTCTAACTTGAGTCTTAGATGCAGTAGTTTTTTAATAGGTATATCCATTGAGCATGGGCTCCGAAGCTTTGCTTGTTGTCTAGTTGTGGTTTTTCAGAGTGGGCTCTGTCTGTTGAAAAGAGAATTTTTTTTTTTATGAAGAATGAAGACTAAACTTATCTGTGTGTTCAAGGGAAATGGTTAGAATTTTGTTGCGGATCACGCTGGCCTAGTAAAGTGGTGGTTCTTGGTTCTCCTCCAAGATTCATGACCTCGTCACAATTGGTGACTTACCTAGGTCACTTACGTTTTTTCTTTTGTTAAGAGTGTCTAAAGTCCAATTACAGATGCATTGGTTACCACCAAGGGGAGCTTGCTACTTCCTTAGGGTTATCCTGCCATGCTGATCGTTGTGTGGTTCATGGGCATCGTAGCGGGTAGGGCTATTGGTTGATTTATTCCTTTGGAAGCTTGCATGATGCTTCTAGTACCATAAACGTGTTGGGTTGGGGGAAAAAAAATCCAAGCAGTTACAAGAGTCCAGCAAAGCAAGATCTTTATTTGAATTAGGCAGCAGACACTAACTAGTCAGATTCGGGAGATGACTGCATCCCTGAACGTTCATTATAGGAACTGTTTAAGCAGAAGAATCATAAGGCCCATAAACATCTGTGCCAAGATATGGTCACAATGTTTCATTAGTCAGAATCACCCAAAAAAATCATAAGCATCTTTGCCAAGGCACAGTTACAATTTTTCATAAGTCAGAATCATTTGTTCTTACCCTGGTTAAGAACATTCCTTATGTTGGGGCGGTGGAGGAGAAGAAGAAGAGGAAAGAAGGCTAGCCACCTGGAAAGCCAAAGCCTGAGACTCAAAAACTTAATTTCATCTTATGACCAAAATGTAGTCTGAAAGAAAAATGGCAGTACGTGGGGTCCGTCTCATTTGTTTGATACCAACAAACAGGTATTCCTTGTGGGGAGTCTGTTTTATTTTGAACTGGGTCTCTGAGTATTTCCAGCTGTCCTAGACTCTCTATGTAGACCTGGCTGACCTTGAACTCAGACTTCTCTTGCTTCTGCCTCCTGAGTGCTGGTTTTGAAGGCTTGCATGACCTTGCCCAACTAAACACAACTTTTGTTATCATGTCTTTGTAGAGAAAGGGTTTCAATGTGTAACATTAGCTGACCTGAAACTCACTGTAGACCAGACTGGCATTGAACTCACAGAGATCTGCCTGTCTCTGCCTCTAGCATTCTGGGATTAAAGGAACGTACTACCATAGGCCAGCTTGTTGTGTCTTGATAATTGGTAAAGTAAGTAAGTAAAGGCAAAACCTACTTTATAGTCATGAGTGGAAAAGGGGATCTTATGACTTCTCACATTAAAGACTTGTGATGCACTAAATTGGAAATTCTAATTGAAATAGATGAGTTTCCAGCTGCATTTAACATGCCAACTTTAATCAACATGAAATAAATAATATAAACAAGACTACAAATAGCAACTATAAAACGATACTTTAAAACAACCCCATGACCAGACTGGACAGAATTCTACTCAGAACTTCAAAGAAGAACAGCAAAGCTACTTAATATTTAATACTTGTTGACACAAAAAAGAAAGACATCCAAACTCTTTCTATTACCTGATACTAAAGCACATAATGAGCCAGGCTGGTGACCACACATGCTTATGATCCGAGCATTTAGAGGCAGAGTAGTCTGATCTCAGGGAGTTCAAGTCCAGCCTGTCTCAAATTAAAAAAAAAAAAGAAAAGAAAAGGAAAGAAGGAAGGAAGGAAGGAAGGAAGGAAGGAAGGAAGGAAGGAAGGAAGGAATCCAAACAAATACTGATGCAACAAAAAAGAAATTATGGACAGATGTGGTCATTATTTAAAAAAAAAAAAAAAAGAACTAGGGCGTGGTGCCCCACACCTTTAATCCCAGCACTTGGGAGGCAGAAGCATGCTGATCTCATTCAAGGCTAGCCTGGTCTACAAAGTGCATTCCAGGACACCCAGGGTTACACACAGAGAAACCTGGTCTCAAAAAAACCAAAAGAAAAACAAATTGAGAGGGACATGGTACCATCATCTTTTAATCACAGGACTACTCAAAGAAACCATGTCTCAAATGAATGAATGAATGAATGGCCTCAAAATTTCTATAATTAGCTATTTCACAGTCATATATGTATGTATATGCACGCACAATGTGTGTATGTTTTTTTGTGTGGCTCTTTGTGTGCACACCTCAAATTCGGCCCACTCTCGCCTCCTACCTCTGGTCCACAATTCTAAAAAGCACTATATTGTTTTCATATCTATTCATGTTGCTTGGGACCAACTGAGATTAACCAGAGCCAAGAGAGAAACTGTGACTTTGGAGCTATGTGTTGGAGCCTGTTGAGCTCAGCAGAGGATAAAAACTGAAGACAATGTTCTTCTCCCAATATCTATGCAGAGCCAGCATATGAGAGGTGAAGTGAGCCTGTCCCTTTCCTAGACTGATTGCGGTCTTGTGTGAAGCCAGTACAGGTTTATAAAGTAGCTGATGGTTACCGGTTACAATAGCTGTATGGAGAGTGGAGAATGGCATGTCCTAGGCTTTCCTCCACTTTCCCTTCTTATTTCTTAACCACCTCTTCTTCAGTGTTCACAGAGCTATAGCTGGGATGGTGTACATGACTTTTTCAGGGCTAGGGCGACATACTGTACTTATTTTCTGCATCTGGGACACCCAAGAGTCTCTTCATTCACCACTCCACTAAGAGAAAAAACACAAAAGGAAGGAAAGAAGGAAGGAAATGCTTTTTTTCCTCGTAAAGCACCTTCAGCCTAAGTCACAGAACACTTGTTTCTGAGTTAGTTAAACCACAGGCAAAAAGAGCAGGGAGCATAGGGCGCGGCATGAATTCAGCCCTGGGCTGTTAACAATGGGCTGACCACTGACTTCCTGAGACAGCTGTTTCTTTCCAAAATCCAAGTCACTGAAATGTCTCTCCCCAAGTCACAGCAGCAGTATTTGGCTTGGGCTTGTTATGTTAGTGTGTTGGCGGTGGACTCTGGCTTCTGAATTTAGCCTGTTGAGGTTGGGTATGAGGAAGCTGGTAGCCAAAGTCTAGGTCTTAAGCTGCCTGACTTTCATGTTTAGGGTTCAGAACTCCCCGTGGGGGTCGCTGCGGGGTGCACCGTCCTCGTAGAGCCAGATCTGGTGTAGGCTGGCGGCAAGCACGTGCGGAGGCTGCGCAGAGCAGATCGAGGCCAGCCTCCCGGGGGCAGCTCGGTGAAAGGCATGAAGTGGGGGGGGGGGGGCCGGCCTGCGCGGGGCGGGAACCGCGCCCGGAAACAGCCTGGGCGGCCGTGGTGTTCGGAGTGGGAGGGGCTGGGGCGTGACGTAGGCGGAAGCAGAGCTACCGGAAAGTTGGACCGCGAGCCGGAGCGCTCGGCCGGGTCCGTCCCGAGCTCGCAGGCCTTCCCTGGGCATCGCGTGGGGCAGCCCGGGCTCCGGGCCCGCGGCGGCCGGCTCGGGGAGCTGAGCAGGCGCCTCCGCGACTGGGACACTCCCGGCCTGGGAGCGCCGCCGGGATCCGCGCGGCGGCCGCAGCCTCACAGGTCAGAGGAGCTGCGGGCTGGGAGCAGGCCGCCGGGGCACGGCCGGGACTGTTTCCCTGCGGTCCTGAGGACTCGGAGATTCTGCTGTGGGTGTCCTCCCGGCCGGTACGGTTCAGCTCTGTGACCTGGACTGAGCTTGGTTGGTTGGTTGTTTCATTGCTCTTCCGATTGGCGAAATAGTGTCTCATTCTTAGTTTGTTCTCGAGACAGGGTTTCTCTGTGTCTTCTTGTCTGCCCTGGACGCGGTTTTTGTAAACCAGGCTGGCCTGGGACTCTCTGAGCGACCCGCCTGCGTCTGCTTCCCCGAGTGCTGGGATTAAAGGCGCGCGCCAAAATGCTTTTAATGAGCATACTCTAGTAGAATACTTTAACTTAGGAATTGATATTTGCAGACCAGTTGTCTTGTTAGGGTGGAAAGGACAAAGCTCTTGAACTTACATTCATCCACGCTAACTCCCTGTCCCTTCAGGACTTCCTTGGTGACTCTTCATCCCTGGAGAGCTTTTAGATATTAGTCATGAAAGGAGTGGCTGCAAATGTAATTGCGCACGAAAGTAGACGGGTTTTTTTGTTGGTTAGTTTTGCTAGTCCCATAGGTTTGGTTGTATACATTAGCATACAGAAGGAAACTTTTATCCACATAACTTTTCATCCAGAGTGAGACTGGCACTCTGAGATGTAAATACAGCATTCCTAAAAGTGTCTCGGCCGGGCTCGGCGGCACACCCCTGTTATCCCAGCACCCGGGAGGCAGAGGCAGGCAGATCTCAGGGAGCTGGAATCCAGCCTCATGTACAGAGTGAGTCTGGGACGGCCAGAGCTGTCTCGTTCTACATGGGAAGTTGATGACAGCCAGAGCAGTCTTTAAAAAGGAATTTAAAAAAAGAAAAGAAAAAAATAATTATTTTTGTGCTGAGTTCCTAGAGCCTGAAAACGCGCGGTATGGTGTTTGAGGTATCAGGTCACTGTATTTTCACAGGTGGAATGGGCATTTTAAGCCAGGTAGTGCTGGCACACACCTTTAAGCCCATTAGTTGGAAAACAGAGACAGGTGGCTCTGGGAGTTCCTTGCTGTACTGCAATCTACAGTGAGGTTAAGGACAGCCAGGCAGGCCTACAAAGAGAAACAGTGGTGGGACTGGGGAGGGAAGGAAAAATGAAAAAGAAACGAAGAGGTACTATTGCATAGTCTAATATTAGAGAGCCTCTCTTGAGGCTTCCTACAACTCCATTAGAGGAGGAGGAAGAATGTCTGCAGTAGTCTGTAGTCTCCTTGGTCAAGTAAAGCACAGTTTCTGTCACTGGACACTGTTGTATTTTGGTTCTTGTGTTTGCTGTGTTTGAGAGCTGAACCCATTGTGCTGCTCTGTAGCCCTGAACTCACCATGTAGACCAGGCTGGACTGGAAGTCACAGAGTTCCACCCACTTGTGTCTCCTGAGCACTGGGATTAAAGGTGTGCTCCAAGACAACCATTCAAAGGGTTGTTTTTAATTTTGTGGTCAGTCCACAGGCACTGTTGTGGCTGTGCACTTCTCCCAGAAGGAGGGCCAATGTCTGGACCCTGCTGGGAGGGCTGTGTACAGAGACTGGATGTTGCAGAATTACAGCAGTCTGCCTTCTGCGGGGGAGAAGAGTTGCTCCCAGCTTCTTCCTCCTCAGGGTGTCCTGGCAAGTTACTCTGCAGCTGTGTGTCCCTAAATTCACAACCTCATGCTTTACAATATTCTCATCCCAATCATTCAATTCCATTTGTGCCCCTGAGATTTGCCTGAGCTCTGATTGGAAGTGAGGTTCAAAGTACAGGAACTGAGAATGCTTCCTAAATATTTTCAGTATTCTGACACTGCATGACAGTTGGGAATCACTGTAGATGATTCTGCTTATCTGCTGAGCACAGTACTGTTAGAAATGCAGGCGCTTTCTGAAGACTCTCTCTCATGTGCAGGGCTCACTGATCAGCCAGACCTGCTCACCTGTGGAGCAGTACAGAGAGGCCTGGAAAGAGGAGAGGGAGGAGACAGTAGCAGAGGATCCAGGTATGTTGGAGGGATTGGGGAAGGGATGAATGTGGAAGTGGGACATGAAATCAGTTTTGCCACATTCTGCTTCAGTAGAAATGGTTCTGAGACCTCCACTGAGAAAGCTCTCAGGATTTATCCTAGTGTGATAAGACAGAAGAATTGATACTAGGAGGGAAATGAGTTTTATTTAAGTGTGTATGTGATACTCTCCTTGTTCCATGTGTACCACTGATCAGGTCATCCTACCAGCATTAGATGGTTTTTATTTCTATGATTCCAATGTATTATAATATGAAAAGCAACACTTCTAGGTTCAATTACTGTTCTGAGAATGTTGCAGCCTTTGGTATTCAAGGACACTCACTAGCATTTAGCGTTAGTCTCTGCATTCTTGAAAATATGCACACAGAGTTTTGATAGGGATGGAAGTATGTTTGTGTACTGTTCCACTCCACCTGTGCTGTTTCCCCATTACCGTCTCCTTGTGTGTGTTGTCTTGTCAATCCCACGTGGCTTCCATTGCTGTAATTGTGGTAAACTTGGAGATCACCTCTAGGTTTGATCCTCTGGCTCTTTGCTGTTCCTTGGTATATTCAGGATTATTTTCTGTAAAATATGCCAGTTGGAATAGTAATTGCTTGGAGTTTTAGAGAAGACAAGTGTCTTTCTAGGCTGTTTGAAGAGAGCATGAGGCAATGTTCCTGTTTTCATGTTTTATGTATTCCTGTGTTTTCTGTCTGCTGGGGATGTTTGCTTTCCAGATTTTGTGATATGAACCCATGTTGATCAAGGTCTTTCTATCCACTGGACCATTTTACCATGTGCTGATAGTCCTTTTTTTTTTTTTTTTTTTTTTGTATTTAAAACGTCTGTCTTTATTTTTATTATCATCAGTCATATTTATTACAGTCCATATTCATAGCATTTTTTAAAAAATCATTTTTTTCTCAGTATTTTATGTGTTTAGATATGAAATAAGTCTTTGTAGAAAATATATCTTTCAGACTCTTCTGTCATTAATAATCTCTTCTGTCATAGTCTGTTTAAATATTTAGCTTAGGGACTATTATGCATTTACATTTCAAAAATTACTGAAAGGAATGCATTTGTTATTTTTAGTACCTTGAGTGTGCACATTTTCTAGGGAAAAATGGAATCTCTATATATTAAATTTACACTATCTCATGACCTACAGAGTAGAGCATTTTCATATGTTCACAATTTCTGTGAAGTATATTTTTAGGTGTATAAGTGTCGTGGAGTTTGGACTGGTCACATGGACCACTTTCAGAAATCCTGGTATTTCCCACTGTTATGTCCCATTCTGAGTGAAACATCTTTCCATAGTCCAGTTAGCTTCTTCTCTTTCCTTCTACGAATCAAAGTTTTCATTGTACAGACCTTTCAAAAGCTTGGTTAGTTCACTCAGGGATTTTTAAATTTTGTTTTCTCTCTTGTGCTAGGTCTCTCTCTCTCTCTCTCACTCTCTTGCTTTCTCTTCACTAATTTTATTTATGATTCAGTTTTTTTTTTAAGGACTCAAAAAGAACCATTTATCAGAACCATTGAACCATCTCTCTAGCCCCCTATTAAGCTTATCTTAAAAAATATTTATTTATTTATTTATCTATCTATTTATTTATTTATTTTTGCGCTGTTTTGTCTACATGTACTCCTGTACACCAGAAGAGGGCACCAGATCTCATTATAGACGGTTGTGAGCCACCATGTGGTTGCTGGGAATTGCCCTTTGGAAGGGCAGCTAGTGCTCTTAACCTCTGAGCAATCTCTCCAGCCCTAAGTCTTATTTATGTGAGTAGCAATAATAAAAAAAAGTCATAGATATTCTAATCAATTTTTATTTAGATGATCCAAAATCTTGACTTTACACAGACATTTGTTATTTCTTAATATTTTTTCTCCTATTTTTGTTGCATATTTGTGTGTATTCCTAACATAAAAACACAACCTACTCAGACTGTATTGGGGGGGGTGAACATTTTGTATTGGAGAACTTATGGTATGCTCTTCTATGGGGAAGACTGTTCTTCCAACTTTCAGAATTCCATAGTGGTTCACTAGGGTTGAGGCCCAGTGACCTTTCTGTCTTTTGGTGGTGTCCTTGTTCAGCTCGTGTTTAGAAGGCCATGTGTGTAAGAGTGCATGCATTAGCTCCTCTGACATTTCCAGGATATACAATCTCATGGAAATGTCCCGATCCTCTGCCTTTAACAATATTCCCATCCCCCTTTTCTCAGTGACGCCTGAGGCTTAGTCACAAGAGTTGTGTTGTTTATGTTTCAGTCAGGATTGCTCATCACAGCTCTGCATCTTGACTGACTGTAGTTGTCTGTAATGTTCTCCATGAGTTGCTGGAAGAACTTTCTTTGAGGGTGAGGAATGAATTTACCTTTTGGAATTAGGATGAATGTTTAGAATGCTGTTAGGGATTGTGTTGATTTAGTAAAGTAGTATTTGTGGGTTCTCCTGCAAGATCTGTAACTTCACTAACTGTAGAGAAGCTAGGTTTTTTCCAGTACCAGGCATGATTTCCCACTTCTTGAGGGAGCCTTAAGTCCAACTAGAAGCTATTGATTAGCACCAAGGTACGTGTGCTGCTCTGGCACCCTTAGGGTTATGGTGCTGTGCGGCTCTCCATTGTGGTTCATGAGTGTTGTGAACCGTGGGAAGAACTGTTGCTGGCCTCCTGCCTTTGGAAGCTTACATGCTGCCTTCCGGCTCCATGAAATCTAGTGCCCCGAGAGGATGCTTTAAGATCAGGTCTCAACTCTCTGGGTTATGTGTCTTAAGTGCGTGACGTCTTCAACACTAGAGAGTCACTTTCTAGCTCTAGCAGTCAACTGTGGGCACTTGCAGTAGCCTGTAATGAATTGGCAGTGTCTTGGACAGCTATATCTAACACCTTCAAAGCAGGCTGCTCCTCCCTGGTGGTGGTTTTATTAGAAGATCTATGGATCTTACGGTGAGTATTATCAGCTCAGATAATTTTTCATGTATACTCTATATGTACATGCATCCACACACTTAAATGTAGGCTTTTTTGGTGGATGAATAATAGTATAATTCTTTATGATCATTTCAGACATCTTAACATTTACTTCCCCTTTTCAGTCAGTATCTGTCCCATCTCAAGAAATAAATCCCTGGCCCTCTTTTGAATTCATTTCCCCCTTCAGATCACTGTTCCCTGTCACTCCCTCTCTGTCACCCCCCCCACCTCATGCCCCACCATGGACTCTCTTAACTTTTCTGGTTACTACACAGACTCCAGGGTGTGTACTCACATCTGAAGATTTTGGAGCTAAGAACTTCCTGTGAGAGAGAACATCCAATGTCTTTCTGGGTCTGGGTTACTTTATTCAATGTGATCTTTTCTAGTTCTATCCATTTACCAGAAAAGCTCATTATTTCAATTTTCTTTACAACTCAGTAATATTTTATAGTGTATATGTATGACGTATTCAATATACGTTTGTCAGTTGAAGGACATTTAGGTTGTTGCCCATTTTGTAGCTATTATGAATAAAGCAGCAATGAGCATGGGTGAGCACAGATCTGTTGGAGCACACGATAAAAAGTGGAAGAGCTGAGTCATGTGCTAGGTGTATTTAATTTGAGGATTTGTCTATTGAATTAATGATTTTTCCCTATTGATTTCCGGAGTCGATAGATTTTCTGTTCCTGGGGTTTTTATTCTGAATGCTGTTGCTGTTGCTGGTGTATTAATGTACTGTTCCTCTTCCTTCTGTGTGAGAATTGGTGTTTTGCTGTCTTGCCCTGGATGATGACTTTATTTTTCACATAGTTCATTATTTCCTACGTTCTCATGGATAATTCTTCTCTCTCCTGCGCACATTTTGGCTTTAATTTATTGCAGGCGTGCTGCTGTAGTGAAGCGACTTGTATTAATTTGTGACTATCCTGAACTGCACTTAAGTCTTTCTGTCAGTTTAAAGAGACTTATTCTGGGTACAACAATGGTTGACAGTGATTTTCTCTCCAAGCTTCAACTGTGGTTCCAGCTGTCCTGGCTTTGGGATCATTGGGTGGACATGTCATAGAAAGATCTACATCGTTTGACCCTGTTCCTTAATAGCTTTCAGTATTCATTTTTCCTTTTTCTTTTTAAGCCCTTATGTGAAAGAGCAGCAAGCCGGCTATTAGTCATTGTTCCTGAGAAACTCAAAGAAGACAAAGAGAAAGAAATGGCTGATTTTCCAGTAAACATGTACCAGGTCAGTGGTCGTGTCCACCTTTTTCTAGAAATGTTAATTTTCAGACATTATAAGCTGCTAATTTTCTGTGTCTGGTAATTTGTTTTAACTTTATTATAAAACACAAAAACCACACACTGAAATTAACTAGACTCAAAGTCTGTACAACTGAATGAACAGTGGTCATGGGCAACAGAAGGTCCGGATCCCATTTGTTTTTATTTTTAATTTTTTTTATTTTCACTATCAGAAATATTTTCATGATCTTGTCCACCACCAAAACCCAAAACACGCTGAGAGAATTAGAACTAGAAAGGCATTTAGCTTCTGTCCTTTGTCATAACCGGTGTTGACTACCTGTGTTTAGTCCCTTCAACCCCTGATGTTTAACCTTCTTGTTCTCTTTGCTCCCTGTTCTACTGCGCCGCATGTAGCTTGTTTCCACACCATATTTTTGACTAGAGTCACGTGGAGGGAAACGTGCTTTCTCCTTTCTGATACTGTATGACCTCAATCTTACACATTCTGAGTTCAGCCACTTTCCTACAAATTATAATTACATTTTTTCCTTTGGCTGAATAGTATTCCGTTTTATACATATAAAATCTTCGTTATCCATTCATGTGTTGACGGACCATTGGGTTGGTTCCAATCTTTGATCTGGCAAATAAAGCCCCAGTAAACATGGGTGTAAAATCTCTAGAGTGGAGTGTGGAGTTCCCTGTGTGTGGTCCCAGGAGTGACAGACCTAGCTTTAATGTTTGTTCTAGCTTTAATCTTTTTAGTAATGTTCAATCTGATTTCCATTTGGATGTATTAATTTATACGCCCCCACTCACACACACACACACACACACACACACCCCAACAGTGAATAAGGCTTCCTTTCTCTTCACCTCCTCTCTGACATTTGTTGTCAGACTAGTTGATGACAGCCCTTCTGTCTGTGGTGAGGCAATACTTCAAAGTATTTTCAGCTTGTTGAAGACTTTTGCAATATCTGTTGGCCATTTGTCCTCTTGTCTTCTCAAGGTGTCTCTTCAGATCCTTTGACCATTTGATGATTAGCAGGTTTATTTCCTTGGTATTTAATTCCTGTGATTACTGGTAAATTTTACATATGAGCCTGTCTATAGTGCCACTGGTACAGATCCTCTCTCATTCTGTGGGTGTTTGTGTGCTCGGCTGATTGTTTCCTGTGATGTACAGAAACCTTTTATCTTCATGTAGTCCCATCTGTTGGTACTTGGGGTTAGTTCCTGTGCTTCTGTGTAAGGCCAAGGACAGACAGGACTGATTCATTGTTAGTATTTTAGCATGCTCTTCGGGTACAGCATTTCAAAGCACATTTCCTCCTCACAAATTGTCCTACTGAGACTTGAACACTGTGATTCTGTGGGACTTAAACACAGCTTTCCTAATAGATAGAGAAGCCTGCCCAGACCTTAGATGTGTCTTGTTTCATGGATATGCTGTGAGACTATTGTGTCATCCTGGTTTCACAGTTAGGAAATTCACTGCGGAGTGTGACATTAGAAATCATCTTTTTGAGTAATTGTCTCTGCTCATCTACATCCCATCTCCTCATATCCAGAAAATCAGTCTGCCCAGCTGTACTAACCATAGTTTTTCATTTCAGGGTCTGTTGACATTCGGCGATGTGGCTGTGGACTTCCCCCAGGAGGAGTGGGAATGCCTGGACTCTGCTCAGAGGGCTCTGTACATTGAAGTGATGTTGGAGAATTACAGAAACCTGGTCTCTGTGGGTGAGGACATCTTGCTTGTAGAATTCCTAACTCATCCTTTGTATGTACTGATTTAGAGGTTGTAAACTCTCTGTTAGGGTGTCTGGGAAACAACATGAAACTAGGGAAACTTTGATAGAGGAAAGGAGCTTTTTCATGGCATTTGATTTTGTTTCTCTTCATTTTCCAGTTTAGAGGTGTCATGCACCCTTCATTTTGTTTCTACAGTGCATTCAGAATCTTACTGTTGTATAATATTTACCCCCATGTGTTACATATCTGTGTCCTACATGGTTTTAATTGTGGAAAAAAAAAATTAAGATTTGCAAACTGAAAATTCTGTTTAAATATTCTGAAGGGTCTGACACAAAAGAGCAATTGTGAATTCATTCCTAGATTCCTCTACTTTGTGTTGTCTTCATGTACTGAGCAGAGTACTATCTTAGACATTTGTATTCTTTCAAAAAATTCTAGCAAGGGTCTTTCACTACCTCACACAACACTCGTGTTATTGTTTGCAAGGTATAGGTCAGGTCACCTGACTAGAAAAAATGAGTTTGCCTTAGAATATGGAGAGGAGAGAGCAGCTGCAACCATGGCGGGCTAGTGAATGAGCAGGACAACAGTGATCCTTCAAGTGAAGGAGAAAGCAACAGCTGAAAATGTTTTTGCTGTATTCACTTTCATTTGAAAGCATTGATGATCATGTAGCTTGTATAATGTCCTGACCCCAGAATGAATCCTGCTTGTTGTAATTCTTAGAAGACCTTATGCCTTATTGAATCTGAATCATAGTGATTTAATACTATAGTACAAAATGCAATTTTACCTGACTGTGCTAACATCGGGTTAGAATAATTTTACAAAATTATAAATCTACAGTGAGTCCATGAAGTAGCAGGATTCTGGAATTGCCTTCTTTTCATGTGTGTCTTCATAGTACATCCATCATGTTCTTCCCAGTGGAGAGTTACATAGCCACCCTTCTGAAAAATCATCTCCAGAATCTCTGTACAGAGTAGACTTGACAATAACTATATAAGGGAAGTCAAGAAACACAGCAGCATGTGCATGCAGATAGTGGAGTAAAGATATATGCAAAAGCTGCCCATTACAGCCAGCCTCAAATGATCTGCGCTATATTCCAGATCCTCTGACAGCTGGCAAAATGCTTCCTTTGCTCCAATTACTTTTAAGGAATCTAGCGTGTTCTTTTTTTTTTTTTTTTAAGCCCTTTGATGCTTTTAAGTGAGCCTTTGTTTTAGAAGGATTTGGGTCCTCTGAACTGAGCTCATCATTGCTATGCATTATTGAGTACAAACACTTGAACCTGGGATTGTATTAAACTCATCATCAATTTCCTAATAGGGACAGGAATTCTAAATAATCACTCAGCCCATCCCAAAGCTAATTACTGATTCCTCAATTATTTGATCATTCTTAAACTATTAGCTTTTTCACAGAGGTGAGATGTCTATTAAGAATTACAGACCCTTGAAGGCTGTGAGGCTGTTTGTATGAGAAACATAAAATTACAGTGAAAGAAATGCATCTGGGAAGTTGCTGGCTGACTTATTTTAAGAGAAGATCTTAGGTAGATTAACATTTTTATCAAATGTTTAATCGCGGACGAATCCCTATTAATGTGACTTGTACTCTTTTTCAGAGAACTACTGCGTATGTGATCCTGCCCGTCAACATGTGAAGACTAAAAGGGAGTCTTGTCAGAGTAACGAGCTTGGCAAAGTGCTTCATGACCCCTCCAACTGTGCACTTTATAAAAGAAGTGAAACTACAGAAGACTATGGTAACCACGGATGCAGTAATCACATAGATGCCGCTGTTGACTCTTCAAACCCAGATAAAACCGTGCACGCTGGAGCAGAACCTTGCACATCTAAAGACTGTGAGAAGTCTTTGAATTTGTGTTCCAACGTTGTTCAAGATCAGAGACTCTACACTGAAGAGAAAGAGCACAGACAGGAAGAATATGATGATCATTTCACCTCTATATACAGACTCATGCAACAACCAATCTACCTGGAAGAGAAACCTCACCAGTGTGGGAAGTGCGGGAAATGCTTCAGTACTTCCTCAAGCCTCACTGTACATCAGAGAATTCATACCGGAGAGAAACCCTACAAGTGCAATGTTTGTGACAAATCCTTTAACCAATGCACACATCTTAAAATTCATCAAAGACTTCATACTGGGGAGAAGCCTTACAAATGCAAAGAATGTGGAAAGTCATTTCGTCAGTCCTCAGTGCTTAAAAGCCATCAGAAGATGCATACTGGAGAGAAGCCTTACAAATGTAAGGAGTGTGACAAATCTTTTGCTCACTATTCCAATTTCAGGACACACCAAAAAATCCACACTGCTGAGGAACATTGCAGTTGTCCAGAATGTGGCAGGGACTTTCATCAGCTTTCACACTTTAGAAAACATTACAGACTCCATACTGGAGAGAAGCCTTACAAATGCAATGAGTGTGACAGATGCTTTACCCACTATTCATCTTTAAAATGGCATCAGAAAACTCATTCTCCAGAGATACATTACAAATGCAAAGAATGTGGTAAGTCCTTTCTTGAATTGTCACATCTGAAAAGGCATAGCAGAATCCATACTGGAGAAAAGCCTTACAGATGTGAGGTATGTGACAAATCTTTCACTGTGAACTCAAGTCTTAAAACACATCAGAAAATTCATACTGGAGAGAAACCGTACAAATGTGGGGAATGTGACAAATCCTTCACTCATAGCTCGCATCTTAGAAGACACCAGAGTGTTCATACTGGAGAGAAACCTTACAGGTGTAAGGAATGTGACAAATCTTTTACTGAGTGCTCAGCTCTTAGAGAACATGAGAAAATTCACACTGGAGAGAAAACTTACAAATGTTTGGAATGTGACAAATCCTTTACCCAGCGTTCATATCTTAGAAGTCATCACCACAGAGTTCATACTGGAGAGAGACCTTACCTATGTAAAGAATGTGGCAAATCTTTTACTACATGCTCAGCTCTGAGAAAACATCAGAAAATTCATACTGGAGAGAAACCTTACAGATGTACAGAATGTGGCAAATCCTTTATCCATAACTCACATCTTAGAACACATCAGAAAGATCATACTGGAGAGAGACCTTATATTTGTAAGGAATGTGACAAATCTTTTACTAGGTGTTCAACTCTTAAAGCACATCAGAAAATTCATACTGGAGAGAGACCTTACAGATGTACAGAATGTGACAAATCCTTTACCCAGGCCTCACATCTTAGAACACATCAGATTGTTCATACTGGAGAGAGACCTTACAGATGTACAGAATGTGACAAATCTTTTACTAGGTCCTCCCACCTTAGAGCACATCAGAAACTTCATACTGGAGAGAAACCATACAAATGTATGGAATGTAACAAATCCTTTACCCAGGACATACATCTTAGAAGACATCAGAGAATTCACACTGGAGAGAAACATACTGTCATAAATAATGTGACATAGCATTTACCCGCTATTCTCTCTGCTTACAAATCCAACAAGATACATAATAGAAACATAAGGATAAGAAACATGTGAAAACCTTTAGTGAAGTTTTATATCTCAGAAAATTGAGAAAGTATATTTTAAAATAAAATTTTGCAAATGTAATTGTGTGAGAGGGTTTTTTTTTTCTCTGTGTATATGGGTGCTTTCCTGCTTGTATTACTATGCAATACATGTATGCCTGGTTTCTAAGGAGGCCAGAAGGGGGCCATCAGGTCCCCTGAAGCTGTACTTACAGCTAGTTGTAAGCTTTTATGTGTGCTAGGAATTGAACCCAGGTCATCTAGAAAAACAGCCAGTGCTTTTAGCCACTTAGCCATCTCTCTAGCTCCTAGGAAAAGCTGTAATAAAAACTATCTTTAACAACCAGAAATTCCTAATTCCAGGTGAGGTGTTACACACCATTAATCTCAGCACACAGGAGGCATTGGCAAGAATATCTCTGTGAATCCTATAATAAGAACAAAATGTAATAACCTTAAAAATGTGACTGATATCTAATTGTGCTATACATCACAATGTTCATACTTCTGAGAAACCATATAAAGGTATACCATATATACCTGCTATGTCTGGCTCTTCATAGGACATCATGATCATCAAATCCATGGAATTTGACAAATCTTTTACCTAGTGCCAAAATTGCTGAAATAAGCAAAAATTCATCATGAGAGAAAACAAATGAACAAAAATACTCTAATAAAGCCTCATCTTTAATTTACCTTCAAAATCTTCATACTAAAGTCAAACCTTACTTAAATGGCAAGAAAGTAAACTATTAGATTACAGGACAGGAGCCTACCACAGAGGGCCTCTGAAAGACTACCCAGCAGGGTATCGAAGCAGATGCTGAGAGTCCTTCAAACTTTGGGCAGAGTGCAGGAAATCTTATGAGAGAAGGGGGATATAAAAAGACCTGGAAGGGACAGGAGCTCCACAAGGAGAGTAACAGAATCAAGACATCTGGGACCAGGGGTCTTATCTGAGACTGATACTCCAACCAAGGACCATTCATGGAGATAATCTAGAACCCCTGCACAGATGTTCCCCATGACAGCACAGTGTCCAAGAGGGTTCCATAGTAATGGGGACAGGGACCGTCTCTGACTTGAACTCAGTGGCTGGTCACCTCTCCTTAGGTGGGGGCAGACTTAACAAGCCACAGGAATACAATGCAGCCAGTCCTGATGAGACCTGATAGCTAGGGTCAGATGGAAGGGGAAGAGGACCTCCCCTATTAATGGACTGAGGAAGGGGCATGGGAGGAGATGAGGAAGGAGGGGTGGGATTTGGAGGGGCTGAGGGAGGGGCTACAGCTAGGATAGAAAGTGAATAAGTTGTAATTAAAAAGAATCTTCGCTTCTGATATAAAGTATATAATAAATTCCTTATTTCAAAATAAAAAAAAAAGGATGACTTGTACATATGACATCATGGGCATGCTCACACATAGTTTAAGAATTCCCAAGGTTGCTAGCTTAGTGGTGCACACCTTTAATCCTAGCACTCAGGAGACAGAAACTCTGAGTTCAAGATCAGCCTGGTTGTGCAAATTCCAAGACAGCCAGCCGGTGTTACACAGAAAAACCAATCTTCAAAGAAACAAAAATAAAAGAAAAATCTCTGAGGGCATGCAGACATTCATTTTGAACTACTGAGGAAAGTATGGGAAGTAATTACTCCACACTCTTAGGAGAAAACGGTGTAACTGCCAGGCCACCCAATGGAGGTAAAAGATTCATGGCCACTCCCTCAGCCATGATGGCGCTGGCACCGTTGCTTGTTCATGGTACTTCAATAGCTACGATTCTCTCCATTACCCACTGCCTGGCGCCAAAGGAGCTTCTTTCTCCGAGCTGGAGAGCAGGACAGGCTCTATATTAAAATGTGGATTTACATGGCAGATTAACAACTCAATCATTGATAGGTACTGCCCTATCAACTATACTTCCCAAGCCTTGGTTTCTGGCCATGGCATGAATTCCTCTCTATAGGGCAGGCTCCAAACCCAATCCAGAGAGGCTGGTTCTGCTCATCAAAAGCCGTGCCAGTAATGCACCAGTGCATACATATTACCTAGAAGCTTGGTTAATAATTATATATATATATATATATATATATATATATATATATATATATATATA